TCGTACCTTCTTGATCGAATCACTATTGGAGTCATCGCCCTCGAATGCTTTCCGCTGCCCCAAGCCGAGGTGGACGGCATATAAGACGAGCGAGGTCTGAACAATGGAGAAGACCTGGACGGCCGTTAGGACCGTTTGAATGTCCCACTCTCATGCTCAGGTATCCAAACATACTGTTGCAGCCGTCAGAATGTGGTCGTCCCATTTCCACAATCTCTGCGGAACCCGAATGTAGATGCGAATGGCAAAGGCGACGAGAACAAAGCACAGCGACAGCGAGGTCAGAATGAGGATCAGGCCGGACTGGTCTTCAGCGGATATGACTCCCAACGGCTTGGAGACGGCCATTGGAATTGGATTCCCTCCGTTGGACGAACGCAGCAAAGGTTTGGGTTAACCTTGTTGTCGAGCATCCGAACTCGTCTTATTGTACCTGCATAACCACCGTTGATATCAACTCGGTGCAGGCGAACAGCCGTCGACGAGGATGGGCTTCGGGGTGTCCAATTCCGGACGCGACAGAGTGGATCATTGACTTCTCTCAGAATGCTCCCCATCAAGGTCAAAGAGCAGGACTTTCGTTCAATGCCTCGTTCTTTGAGAGTCTCGAATATGCCCAGGGGGTTGCTGTCCCGTGCAGGAGCTAAACGCCACCAAAGACAATCCGATAAACCCTGGGAAGATGGTAGCATGACACGATGACACACATGGGTCCGGACAAAAGTCAAGCGCCATGATGCTAAGATTGAGAGTTCAAAGTTCCCTGCAAGACTCCACCCCTTGTCGCAAAGCCGTTGTCGAGTAGTGGCAGGTGACAGGTCAAAGAGTCCAGATACAAGACACTGGCGATCATCGCTGTAGAATGGATGTCTTTCTCAATCGGCATTTCTCCCTGCAAAAGAACGAATGCACAAGCCCCTTTTCGGTGTTCGCAAGGCCACCCGCGGGACGTGGGATCGTCGTTTCTCTGAAGATCAGAGTCCCAATCTCAGGACGAGAGAGTTTCTGGCCGGTAGTTTCCAAACTAACACCTGCCACGTCCTTTGGAGCTTTGCTGGAATAGGTGTGGGCTCGTGCGCAACGTCCAAGGACGAGGCGCCATGTAACGAGTACCCTGGGAAATGGTGTGATTGTACGCGTACCAGGACATTGTCCAAGGCAGTCAGTCACCCAAGGGAGTTGAAAGAGTGCTCGTCAGATAAGACACCAATAAGCCACCATTTTGGGGGTAATCCATCCGCCGGGGAAGGGGAAGCAAGGCAAACGCCACGGCCAACAGCGGATTCTGTCTGCCTCTCAAAGAGACATGGGATTCTTGTAAAAGCCACTCATCTTTCAATCCCTTATCCGCGTCGACTGGGATGGGGCAGCTGACGGGAGAGAACAAGGTGATTGGACAGAGTGGATGAGAACACCTTGATGGTGTGGATGGAGGGATGGAGGGATGGAGGGAGGGTAGTTGGAAAAAAGCATCGATCAACGGTGGAGTTTATTGGAGCCTTTGCATTCATTAGGCTTGTGGCTTGTTACAGAGAAGCTACACCGCCAACAGGCTTAGCCAGTGTGGCCAGGTGCCAGGATATGAGAGGGGCGTTTCAATACACTCGTTTCGCAGGGTCCGGGAGTTGGAGATGCATTGTCCGGAACAGGAAAGGAGAGGACAGGGTCGATCTCGACGAAGGAAGACAATGGGTAATCAACATCATTCTTATTGCCACTACTCCCTATAGCACATTCTCACTCCTTCCAAGCAATGTCGACATTCCTCAAACTCCTTTGGAGCTGGAGCATGGTATCTTGCAGCCACACAGGCCAGTTCCTCAATCCTGCATTGCTCTCCTCAGTCCTCGGCATGAAAATCTGGCCGCTCCGTCCCGCCAACACTTGTTCCACGACGGCATCGCTCACGTTGGATGCCGGATCACACCTGATGCCCGCCTGCTCCAACTTGGCGGCGACAGGTTTGACGATGCCAGTTGCATGCCAGGACGGATGGACCGAGGTGGTTTGAATGCATTTGCCATTCTCATGATAGGTACGAAGCTCCGTCCGCAGACCTGCGCCAGAAGTCAACATCGGGGGACTGGGTAGGTAATAGAAATAAACGGTGAGCTTACCTTCGTTCAGATAGAGTGCCGCAACCTTTGTGCAGCAATAGTCGACGAGGCCTGGGGCTGCGAAGAAGCTGGCCATGGACGCAATAGTCACCACGTGCCCCTTTTTCGCTCTCAGCATTCCGGGCAAGAACTCCTTGATCAAAATGAAGTGACTGGCAATGTTGACTTTGAAGATCCTGTCGGTCAACTTCGCATCACTGTGAATAATCTTGGTGCCGTTGGCTGAGGGATTCTCGGGTTAGCTGAATGGCGCCCTGAAAGAATAACATACGACTGAAAAGAGGCTTACCAATGCCAGCATTGTTGATGAGAACCGTGGGGTCTCCATGCTCCCTGCGGATGGTCTCCGCTGTCGACTCTATCGCCGAGAAGTCGGTCAAGTCGAGTTGATAGTAGTCGACGCCAGGAACTAAAGCATGAGAATGAGCACTCGACCTATGACGTGGTTATCGGGGAGATTTACGCTTCCTCAACTCCTCGGGGACTGGAGAGATATCCAGGATGACAACTCTCGCATGCTTCGAGAAGCCTTTGACCATCTCGTACCCGAAGCCGGAACACCCTCCAGTCACTACCACGAGCTCCGTCCGCTTATCCCATTGGAAGGGGGCGCCTGGTTTGGTGAAGAAGTGCCAGTTGTTGAGGGCAAGTTTGTTCAGTGTCCGGTTGAGTTTACGGACAAGGCCGATAGCAAGGAGGTATTTCAACGACTTGACGAGTAGGGCAATGCGTTCAGGCGATAGTCCGGCATCGCCCAATGCCTTCAAGAGGCGTGCTCTGTATTGAATAGGTGCTCGGGTTAGAGCAAACAACAAAGTGCCGGTAAGAAGTGGTTCGGTCGATGCACGGTGAACAAGACTGAAGGGCAGGGTAAGAGCACCCACAGCGAGGCGGTTAACGCGTTCAAGGGGGCCTGGATGCGCCATTTTTCCACACACAGTAAGCGACGGAGCTGAAGATGGTGTGATGTCGATGGCACGATGGAAAGAAGGTGGTCGAGATGATGTCGAATTTCCCAGAGAAAAGCATATTTATGAAGGACGGTCGAGCGGGGTTTCATCCATGATCAAGTTGCCGTCAGTGCCTAGGCCAGGAGCACAGGACCCTGGGCTTCAGAGCGAGAGACAACTTGTGACACGCAGACTCGCAAGCGATTGAGAGCAGCTCGAGTAAGTAGACAAGTTGCCTCGGTCGGTGATGCGAAATGGGGTTGGCCTGAAGTCTTGTCGGGCCAATAATTCTCGTCTCTGTAGTGGGTTTTGCTGGGCATCAGGTCAAGCCCTTGTCAGTGCCTGTATTTCCCCGCAGTTTGAAACAATGGGCGCCTAAACCTGAACTGGGGGGGCTGTTCCACCAGGGGGTTTTCTTCCAGCTTAGGTACTGGGCACGCCGAGCGAATCAGAATCAGGTACAAATACTACTGAGGACTGAGTATATCTCGTACCTCGACGCCTGCCTCACTGGTGTTCCACGTGACCTTGCGCCGCTTTTGCGAGGCTGGCTCGAGGCCGGCTCAACTTCGGCTCAGGGTCGGCTAGTACTGTCAGGTGCTGCGAGCTCCACAATTTATGATCTCCCGCCCTTCTAACAAACCTGGAAATAAATATGCACGTCTTGGGACCATTGCCGACTCATATATTTATGTTGAATTTTGGGGATTTTTTGGAGACCTTATCTGGGCCATGTAGGACTGGGAGCCTCGTTAATCTTGTGTATTCTGAGGTCGAGGAGCCTCATGGGTGAAAATCGGCATAAATCGTTCACGGCAACAAAGAGTGGCAGGTAGGGTCAAGATAGGGGAGTGCAGTGTCGAGGCAGTAGACCGGCTTGGGGTTCGTACTACAACTACTTAATGTACCTAGGCATTTCGCAGAATCCGCCTACACTAGATTGCACATGAGTCCGCAAGGCTGCGAGGGAGGCGTGATGTTCTTTTCCTTTGAAATAAACATCAGGTAGAACCTCGATATAGCAGCTCCTTTTCAATGCCGCCCTAGAGACCGCTAAATGCACTTTGTAGCACAGGAGCGTAGCGCCCATCAAATCTCGACATTGGCTGCTGTGTCTGTCACCTTCCAGCTTTCTTTCTGTTCCTTCCATGCCCAATAAGACCTGTGTTCTAGACCATGTAACCATTGGCAGTATTTATACCAAAGCCAGCGTCCAAACGGACTTTCCAATGCGTCTCAATGTTCATAATATCATCCTCCTGTATCCGAGCGACTGTTGCTGTCCAGCTCCACGTTCGACATCGGCTTCCGCTGCTGAGAAGGAGTGCTAGACAACTTGCTTGGGTAGTAAGTCTGTTGTTGATAGGGATAGGAATTGGGAGGGTACGGCTGATTTTGGGGCAAGAGTTCGCGCGTTGACGGCTCATGGCTTGAGGCGCCTTTTGAGGGCTTCCTGCTTTCCTCCGCGCCAGTAGATGAATGGGCTGCGAGCACTATCAGTTCCAGAGTTCCGCCAATGATGTGGATGTAATTGTTGTCGGCTTCGAGGAGGTTATTGTGACCACCGGTTCGGTGAAGTTAATATGATGTTAAAAAAAAGATCGAAGTAACATCTGGTTAATCACAATCCCATTCTACCAGCTAGGCGATAGACCCATTATTGAGGTCAATAGGAGAGATTCTTCCGTCCTCTAATTTTGGTTGTTAGACTTCAAACATCGACATCGAGCATAATATTGAATTTCCCAGCCTCACCAAGACGCATTCTTTATGTCTCAATAATGCTCCAAGGCTGGACATGGCAAACCCAAGGTAGTTGGTCGCGTTGTCGCCTTCACATTATCGCTGCAATCACCCTTTTGGTTCTCCTCGCCTTCTTGCGACAAGCGTACCAGAGTAACGGAAACCTAGCCTTGTCTCGTGAGCCCGTGTCATGGATATCGCCTCGAGAGGCCGCAGCAAACTCGACGCTCGGGGTGAGTTGTGCACATCCCTTGTCACAGGCTTAGCAACTGACTTGACTCAGTTCCAAAAACTTCTTGCCCTCTCCACGGGTGAAAGTTGGCGGACCCGTGGCCTAAAGGCAGCGTCAGATATTGTTGGCCTAGATTTCACAATCCCGATCCAACCTCAAAATCCACTGGAGCTGGTCCAAGCGTTCAAGAACATCGGCAAGGATTCGGGCAAGACCACGCCCGCACACGGCTCAGCTATGGCGTGGTTGGCACACATCGATCTCCTCAAGTTTGTGATTGCGTCCGGGTTTGAAACGGCCTTCATCGTCGAAGACGATGTTGACTTTGACGTTAGGCTCAAGGAACAAATTCGACTTGTCTCGGATAATGTTCGGCAATTTGTCGAGATACCAGCTCACGACCCTCGTCCTTATGGCGACAACTGGGACGTTCTCTGGCTGGGCCATTGTGGATCTGCGATTGAAGACGACATGCCTGCAATGCTCAAGTATCGGGACGAGACTCGCTGCAAGACAGAACATTACTCAGGCTGGTCGAAACATTACTTGAGAGACAAATTGGAAGACCAGCATCGACTGGTGCAGACTTCAGTTCAGACGGTTTGCACCTTTGGTTATGGGGTGACGCGACAGAGCGCGCCCAAGATCCTCCAGCTATTGGGAACCGGTTCTAATGAAGCATTTGATGTTTCCATGTCTTCATTTTGCAAATCAGGCGACCTTCGCTGTGTGGTTGTGAACCCTCAGATCATGAACCACTATGAACCAGCCAAAGATGCCGGATACTTAAGCCCAGTGCACGTTGGCGACGGACAAGGGAGCTCGACCGGTGACATGGCATTCGAAGGAGTTATGGGGGCAACTGGCAACATCGAACAGAGCGCTCGATGTAAAGCTCTCTTCAATGATGTCTGCATGCGACCGCCCTCGGAAATATGAGAGACGGATGATCATGTCTGGTAGCATAGCGAACGGCGCGAAGGAAGATTTTGCGAATTGGATTTCTTCAACTATTGTTCGCCCACGAGAGTCATTGGATCATCCCAATGACGATCCTGTTCCATGACAATCGCCCATGAATTGAGTGACGCCTGCGCATTTCCGGCCAAGGAAGGGGCCCTTCCTTCCCCTGCAAAACCCGATGTTGCAGCAGACTTCGGTGAGTGGACCAGTAGCCGGCCTTTGAGTTTACGCACTGTTCTGGTATGATATCGGGTGGCGCCCTACCCACGGCGACCTTGAAATTCAAAAAAGCTCACCCAGTCAACTAGCTATATCTAACTTCGCAATCGTAGATCTCTACCTGCCATCCTTCAATTAAGTCGCACCTCTATGATTGTGGCGTGCCAGTGAAGTCGTGATATCAAACACAGCAGGGACAGATCCCCACCACCATAAAGCTGGGCGTTTCTACCGATAAATGTGCAGCTTGACTCCTTTCACACCGTCCACATCCAACGCAACTCTTTTGGACAAAGGCACCTTCCGCAGCTGCTGAATATGGCGGTTTCACAATCCAGAACGCCACATCAGAAGTCAGGAGGCAGCCTTCGTGGAATGATTTCAGAAATTAAATTCAAGAATGCTGGGTGATGATCGATTCTGGCAACCACGTGGAGTCAGAGGCAGTGACCCATGAAGTGTCACGTCCCTGGCCGCTGATCTGGATCGAAGTCACCGGGTATGTAAATATGTCGTACCGCGATCCCATCATCTGCTGTAATTCCTTCTCCCCCATCGCAGACCCCATTCTGGTACAAGAAAATCAAACCCACCTCCCACGGAGGTCAAACAAAACTCTCCGAGGTGAAGTAAGAACAGCTCATACCTATTTCGATCCCTGTCGTGATGATTCCTCTTATTCACCGATCGGAAGACTTTCAGAGGATAAGACTCAGGCATCTTCTTACGACGACATTTATTTACCTCATGGACTGCGAGTAGGGCGACCCTTAAGATAGTTGCATCACTTGGACCATCATTCGAGAGTTCTCAGACGCTTGACAAGAAGCCGCAGCGCATTGCCTCTGTGGTAGAGAATCTGCCAGGCCTGGTCGCCGCTCAAATCGTGTGCATTCTGGTGCATTGCTGATAGGGACAGGACGCTGTGCAATAGAAGGGCGTTTTGCAATGTGGTCATGATAACCCACCTTGGCGACAGAATTCGTACTACTGTCGCTAAAGTGGAAGGACATTTGCGAAGCGCAGGAGAATTTCATGACTAGGACATGTCACATGTCAGCTTGGCCATCCGGGAACAGGGTCCCTAGCCCGGATGTGGGCGCAGTTGGTCCGTTGCTCAGGCCGAATGACATCATGCCCAGTCACGTGCCGGAGCACCTCCTCAGGTTGAAGCAGCGAGGCTCAAGCCCACGCTCAGGTCCAAAGATGGATTCACCTAACGGAAGGCTGATGCGCCAAAGCGATGCTGGACTATCAGGACATCACTCCTTTTGATCCTCCTCGCGACCCCTAGACTCACACGATACTTATTTCTCTCTTTCCGATTCTTTTTGTTTACAGACAGGGGAAAAAAACAAAGAGAAAAAAAGGAAATAACGGGCCAGGTGATAGTGTCAAAATGCGCTGCAAAGTGATTCCCCGTCCTCTCACCCACATCCACAAACTACTCCCACACTTCCAGGTGTCGACATTGACCTCAACTACGCACAGATCGGCATCCTCACTGACCAAGTCTGCTGTCGCAACAACACGGACGGCGGGTCTGATCGGTGGCTTCTCGTGGCAGACTACGGCCATATACTACGAGGAAATCAACAAGCATGTCAATGCTAAACGAGGCGGTATACACTCGGCCAATCTCCTCATCAGATCCATTGATTACGAGGACCTCGCCTCACTGGTCGCCGCAAAAGATTATGTCGGCATGACCAGACTACTTTGCCAGTGTGGTATGGAGCTCAGAGCAGCCAATGCACAGGCCTTGGTCCTTTGTGCCAACATTGTGCACAAAGCTGCAGAGCAGCTGGAGGAGACGACCGGCCTGCCTGTGTTACATATTGTTGACTTCACGGCCCGGCAGATTGTGGATCAGGGCTTTAAGAAGGTCGGACTGCTCGCGACACGAGCGGTCATGGAAGAGGACTTTTACATCCGTCGGCTTCAGAGGTTCGGTTTGGAGGTCGTCGTGCCCAACAGCGAGTTCCGGGCTGATGCTGACCGCATGATATTTCAAGACATGAGTAAACCCGAGATTCCAGCACCCGTCAAGGCGAGATGGCGCTCGGCGTACCAAGATCTGCTGAGCGATCACCAAGTTGACTGCATCATTCTGGGATGCACTGAGCTCCGGCTTGTGTTTGGACCTGAGGACCTCAGGGCTCCCACGTTTGAGACGACCACGCTGCACGCAAGAGGGATTGCTGAGTGGGTATTAGGCCACGAGGGGTCGAGTTAGGTCTTGGATTCGCACGACACAAGGTATTCACTGATTCCACACTCATATGAAAGGTACACAGCGCTAACCCTATTTTCACTAGCGGATTACTATCCACGTGGTCGCTAAACCTTCCTTAATGTTAGGTCGATATGAGTTTCGACTCTGAATTTATCAATGCGTTCACAATGGGCAAGAGTTGGATAGTGGCACAAATATGGCTTACTGTGCTATTGGTCACCCGAGGCAAGCTGAGTATCACTCTGGAATGATTAGGGATCGAATCTCCACTTTTCATCAGACGTCGGTCGACTCAGTTCCACATATGCCATCCTCCATACTGCCAGCTATGCTCCCACATTCCCCGGACCTTCATCTACCTAGATATTCCTGAGCGCAATGTCGCGATCCGAAGCTTGCGATGCCGGCCCACTCCCGTGTTGGGCTTCCCATTTCACATTTCTGATTGAGGTTTCCTGTTGACGAAGGCGTTTCTTCTGCTGGCGGCGGCGCCACAGGACGAAGAAGAGAGCAAGGGCAGATGCAACTCCCACCACAACACCGACAACAATGCCGGCAATCGCGCCACCGGACAGGCCTGAAGACGATGACTCCGTGGCTTCTGGGACCTGGGCCGTTGCCGTCGCTCCAGCTGCCGAACCCGTTGAAGTAGATTCCTCCGAGTCAGGTTCAGAAATCTCGAAATCCTCGGTAGTGGCGTTGAAGCATGGCACCTGATAGGTGAACTGGCTGGTCGGCACGTATGTAATATCAGCGCACGCATAGAAGGTCTCGTTCAGGTCAGTATCAAAGTCGGAAGTATATCGAATCTGCAAAGTGGCGGGTGCTTGAGCTTCGACATCTGCCGGTGGGTTCGGAAGCGGGAAACACTGGTGCCCTTCGTTGAGTTCGGGGATTCTTGTGTCTGGGATCACGACCTCGAAATCATCGTTGGACGTGGGGTCTAGCCGAGTCGTCAGCCATGAACTAAGCAGGACGCTGGATCGGCACTTCACCCACCACTTTTATAAGATATCGCTACCTGCATGTGCCAGGACTCGTCTTGAGCGACAAGCGCAATTTGGCCATTTACTGTCACAGTTCAGTACGAACCCACTGGACTTATTTGGCATTGACTTACACAGGGGAAAGTCGGTTCTGTTGACAACCGATGCAGCCGAACCGCACGGGGCGGTGTTGTCCTGGGCAGCACCCCATTCACGATCAGGCGGCCACATGAAGGCGACTGGGCCCATTGTCTTTGAATATTCCTCTCCATGTTCTTGGGCAAGGGCGAACTTTGCCGCAAGGGCGCCGCCCAAGACTAGAGCAGACATGAGTGGTGCCATTTTGCCGATGATATAAGCAGAAGTATTGTCGATTTCCTTCTGAACCGGAACCAGCTACTGGAGGTAAGAGAACAGATTGAATTAAACTCTAGTTACACGACTATCTACGACAAGGAGGGGGGGTTGGTGGAAGATATACCCTCCGCAAACCGATCCATTCGAGTCACGAGGGACACCCGACCAATGCTTGGCCGGGAAATGGCAGAACCTGGTGCTGCTGGGGGACGATGCGAAGGCAAGTGGAGTTCCTTTTCCAAAGTCTTTCCATGTGCATGGAGTAGAAGATTCGGACGAAGCGCAGGACAATGACCCTAGCGAGGGCATCACGGCACGTCCAAGCGAAGCTGCCATCTAATCAGACAAGATATCAAGCAGGTGCCGATATCGGGAGTGGTCAGACAACTCGTCCTTCTCCACTGAAGGCTTGGAAAAAGCGGAAAAAGTCTTTTGTCAGACCCGCAATCGTTCGATCTGATAAGATAATTTTTCGTCCCAAGCTCGCCGGCGCGCTTGGCTTTTGCTGGGCACTCGCTGTTGATCGGCTGGATGCCACGAGGGACCAAACCAATGGAGCAGCCGAGAATTGGGCAAGAGAAAACGCGTCAACTCGTCTCGTCTGCCGATGTCATGGCCGACCATTGTGTCTCTCACCACGCCGACTTTGGCAGCTGAGTTTGGCCACTGATGCCACCCTCGGTTGGAGCACCCACGCTTGGCCCGGAAATGAAGGGACCGGGCTCGAGGTTGGTTGCTGGAGCTCCATGTTTATATGGAAGAGCTATCTCCCTCTTCTCGTGGCCTTCTCGCCCAGACTTGTACCTTGCAGCTCCAGCCTTTGTATTTTCTGTCTAACTTGCCACTCTTTGGATCAACCACCACACCATGCATTACGCCCTTCCCACGGTTCTGGCTCTGGCCGTTGCCTCTGCCTCTGCCTCTATCTCTTTTGAGTATCACCCTTCTGTTCCCTTGGAGCGCCGACAGGAGCCTGGAACACCTGCCTACGAGTGCCATGCGAACTGGTAAGTTGTGTTGCGATACATGTCTTGTTTAGCCCCATTGACACAGAGTCCAGTGGAGGCGTCATCACCGCTGGGAGGACGGAAGGCTATTGTGACTCGGCCAACTTCACCACCATCTTGGAAGACTGCCTCGAATGCGCGCTCGAATTTGATATCTGGCAGTACTACGGCGAGAGCGTAAGTGCCGCGGCTACAGGATGTGGGCTCGACGCGACGCCAGTTCCTGCTTCGAATGAGACCTCGGCCACGGAACCCACTGCCACCCCGGCGCCGACTTCGACCACTTCAGCTCCAGGCACAGAGGAGACCGGTGCAGCGACGACCACGGATTCTTCTGAACCTTCAGAGACAACCGCCGCTCCGGCCGACACAGCTTCCGAGACGCCCGAACAGACCGCAAGCGAGGTGAGTTTGTTTTCTTCGGCCAGGTTTTGAAGACGAGCATTTCAACTAACCAGGAAACCAGACGCCAGCTGAAACCAGCTCTGCAGACGTGGCCGTCCAGACTGAGAACTATGGCAGCAAACTCGCCCTTGGCGGTGGACAGGTCGTGTTACCATTGGTGGCGCTTCTGCCGGCATTGATCTAGTGCTCAGGGAAAGGGGAATGTCGACGTGTCAATCATTGGGGGAGGTAGAGTTGGAGGTAGTTTTATTTCTCTCAAGGCAATTTAGGATGGAAACAAGAAGAGCATTTCTTGTGACTCCTGAAAAGGCATTGCTATATTATAATCGATATCTGTGTAGGAAATAGGATATAGGAAAATAGGATCGAGGATCGACTATCGAGGATCAAAGTCTAGTGGTCCAATAAAAAAAGAAAGGGTTCCGCGTCGCATAAGAGGCTGTCCTCTCTCTCTCTCTTTCTCTTTTCTTTTTTGTGTGTGAGCTTTCCAAGTATTACCCCTACCACCAATCCTTCTGATATCTGATCAAAAAGTCCGAGGCAGAGTGAGCGCGCGGGCTCTAACAACAACGTCAGCTTGTTGCCCCCCCTGATCCACAAGATACGAGATAAGATAACGTGGCTTGTCGTCGGGTCTGGTTAGGTCAGGTTGGCATAAGAATCCAAGACGAAAAAGAAATGAAGAGACTACAACTACCAAGAAAGAAAAAAAAAACCTCTTGGAATTTGACAGAGGGTCGGGTTCGGGATAGACGGCAATAGAGGTCGGAGTTTAGTTGTCGCCCGATCGAGAAAAATAAATGGGTTTGAGTGAGGTTTTTGGTTCAAGTGTTTGTTCTGGGTAGAAACCTCCGTGCGTCGTTCAAATGTGAGAAAGGCTGGATATACATATAACTATATAGTTATATACTATATATGCCTTTTTCTCTACCGCCCGGGTTTACTTGCCGGCTATGGTATAACGCGCGAGTGTACAATCTATCTGCTGTTTGCCTTGGATTCACGAATAACATTATCATCTCTGCCCAAAATACAACGAAAGGTCATTTTGCAGCAGAAAGAAAACCCTCGGATGTGGTCGGATATGGGTACCCATTGAATACTTTTTTTTTTGGTTACAAAATATTACCAAGTACATTCCAAGACTCCTTTTTTGTTACTCAAGTATCTCCCTTGAGGCTGGGCTGAGCTGGGCTGAGCTGGGCAATTGCCGGGATTCTGCATCTCGGCGAGGGTTTCTTGTACGTAGTGTAGTAGTATAGTGTAGTGTGGCGTGGTGTGTCGGGTCGTGGTCGTGTTCGTGTCCGTGTGGTGTGTGGGTTTACAACGAGGTGGTGGAGATGGGAGGTGGAGATGGAGAGGGGGGCAGGATCATAACTGGCGACTTGTACAAGTTCAGTGTTGGTGACTAGTGGTTGGTGGTGGTGGAGTATACACAACCCTGGCTAGCTAGCTAGGGTATAATTGTACGTACGATCAATCTGGTGCTCATTGAGTGGTTAGGGTAGGTACTAAATTGGGCACGGAAGTGGAGATGGAGTTTATTATAATCGGGGTTGTCACTGTTCTATCAGTCTGCTCGGTACTTTTACTTCGTACCTGCTTGTACCTGTAGAACTGATATCATTTCTTCCAACCACGCTCCTCTCCAATCCCCCCCCCCCCCTTCCTCCCTTTCCCGTGCCGGACCAAGGACCTCTTTCTGGTGAAGACGTGGGTTGTTTGGCCGATTGTTCTTGCCGCAGACATGGGAAAAGAGAAAAAAAAAAGGGAGGGGGGGGGAGGGGGGGGGAGGGCAGGAATGGGAATAAAGAGAGACCGGCATACCAGTGACCCTGTTGAGCGGCAGTCACACTTGCCTTCTTTGATGATTACTAACAAGCTCCTACCTTGTTGCAGACTCACCTCTCTGCCACGCCCCCAGAAAGAACCTTTGCTAGCATTTCTGCCCTAAGGCAAAGTTCCGTGGACATTGGATAATTTGGATGACGGCCCGCAAAGCAAGCCTACCTCTGCCTGCCAAAAGCCACAGAAACTTCCCAAGTTCATTTGTTTTCCGTAGCCAACATTCGACCATGGTGAGACCAGTTCTGATTTTCTCCAACATGGTGATGCTGATAAGGTTTGCAGTGATAGCATTGCACAGCCACATTGAGTGTATGTCTCCCCCTAGAGGTCATATACGTCTGGTTCAGCATCGTGGAACGGATTTTGGTCAAACCACTCTTCAGCATCAAAGATAGTTGCCTCTGTCGAATAAAGCTCATCGAGCACGCTGTTCAGTTCTGCAGAAGGAATAAGCCATGGGCCGTGGATTCAAAGATTAAGGCTCACTGGATAATTCGATCGGGTGCAGTGGTTGGAGTGAAAACTTGGAAGGATCGAAAGAAAAGGCGATCAGCGGCGCCGGCAAAAGTGTCCCTGAGTAGCGATGTAAGCGGTGGCCGTGGGAGTATGGTTTAGGCATATACCCTTCTTCAGACTGATCAAGACTGGCTTTCTCGTTTCGTCCTCTTCTAGATGCCGGTCGAATGCAAGTCTCGTCAAATCTTGCATTAGGATAGTGTTGGGCATGAAAATAGGCCCGCTTGCTTCTGCCCAGGAAACCAATCTCAGTACTCTCCAAAACGATGCTGAATGAGTGCGCACTTGGCTTTTTGTCCCATACTCTCGGATATACCAGACCATCATCGGATACTAAAGCCCGCTCGTTGCTGTTCGAGTCCTCATCCTTTTTGAAGGCTGAAAGGTTTGATTTGGGGAAGAGCTGCAGCCGGTACGCGGTCGTAGGAAGCGTGGAATGGAGAGAAATAGACGAAAGCCTCCGCAGGTTTCCAGGTTTTGAGAAAACCAGAGAATGCCGCGTTGGCACGCAGAATGAGAATCGACCGAGCATGCTGAACATGTTGAGTAATTGACAAATCAAGTTTGGACTGACCTACACGATTTGGCGATCATGTACAGTTCGCGAGTTGAGATTAGGAAAGTATACCGATTACAGTTGTTTAGGTGCAAATACGCAGACTTTCCAACCACGTAACTATAGATCGCGATGACGAACCCATCTCTTCCTCACGCATAATAATGGTATCTATTATATCTATCTATCCTATAAATCTGCACCATTATTGAAAAGATCGATCCAGACAGGCTCGCAAAGCAAGACCCGGGAACAAGATCTGATCGCAGAGCTGTTGGCTTGGAAAAGCTCATCTGTCAATCAACATATCATATTCTTTGGAAGCGCTGCCTCGTCAAGAAGGAAGGGCGTGGATTGGTGTTTAATGATCAATACACAAAAATTCTCCGGAGGGTTGTAAAACGACCTCGTCGTTTTTTTCTGATTTCAATTCTCTGACCTTTCTGAACCGGATCACCGGAGGCTCGACATCATTTGTCTACCTCGAGGGCAAACAAGGTTGAATTGTCCTTTGTAACGGTAAGCGACGTATTTGCTTGTGTCACCCTCAAGATCTCCCACTCCTTGACCTGATTTTCAAAACGAATATTAGACAAGCCCCTCTCCTGGACAGTGGAAACAACAGCATGGCTTCCACGTACCTTTCCGAGACTGTCTTGTATCCGTGTTCGCAGGTCTTTATCCATATCCACCTTTGGCAACGTCTCGATTTTCTGGTTCCCCCATTTTTTCTCGCCCTTTGGCACTTCACTTGCCCATGCTGCCAGGTCTTCTATCGGGATGTCACCGTTCATCTCAGTGCGTGCACCGTGTATGATGGATTGACTCCTGATGTTCTTCGGGTATAGTGTTGACCGTTTAGTGGAGGTGTCGCCGGGTGGCGATGAAGGCGTTCCGGAATGACTCTCCGTACTACAGCCGGCGGTATGTCTTTCGGGTTCTAGACGCCGATACCCATAGTTCGTTCGGGTAGATAGAGTTGTTTTACCATGCGCGATGAGGGGCGCAGGGATCTCCGCTATCAGAACAGCCTCTCTTAGCGCTTATAGAATAGCCTCCCATCTCTCCCATCATGTTTGAGAAATAGCCGACTAGACAAGGGCGATGTCCTACGAAACGAACGACGAGAACTCGACAAGAATTTCTTTGTCCTGGTCCTGGCCCCGGCTCTCCCACACGCCTAAAAGGAGCCACAGACGGAGAGAACAACAGACAAGATCGCCTTGTCTTCCCTCAAACCCTCAAAGAAAGGCCCTTGTATTGTGACAATGAAAGACACACATGGGATGCCTTTGTTGTCTATGAAAAGACTCTCCTCCTCATCTACTGGAATATCTATCTACAGTACCAAAGGACTCCATTTCTTTCGCATCCGACCCCCCCTTCTTTTTTATCGTGCATGTAGGTTTCATCCGTCCATCCATCCATCCGTGCTTGCTTGCCTTGCAATCTCCAGTTCCGCCCACAGTACACAATTTCTGCCTACATATCCACGCCCACACACATCCATATCCATCATACCTAATCCCAAGGATCTGTCCGTCTCCAAGCAAATCGGCAAACAAAAGCCCAAAACCTGAAGACCACTCATAATCATGCCTTTTCGCTTCTCTGAACTCGCAAAGAGAGGTAAGTCTGTGTCCAACTCCGGAGCGTTTGAAGAAGAAGAAGAAGCCACAGCAAGACCTATGACCACGGCGCGCAGCTCCTACGCATACAGTGACTACGTCAGTGAGGACCTCAACGACTATACCAGTGAGTACGCATACGATGTCCGCGACTCAAAGCTCAAGTCGAACTCAAGTGGTCTTCCACAGTCCGCCGTGTCACTGCGAGTAGGTCCAAGACGACCAGATCGGACCGACACTCCCGCCCCAGCCAGCATCTACTACGACAACGGCACGGGTGTCCTCCACGCAAACTTCGTCCGCGACCAGGGCCTGCCGCCGCACGTGCGCACGACGGCGCAACTGGCCGAGTTTATCAGGATGCGCGAGGACAGCAGCAACGGCTTGGAGGACGGGGGAGCAGCACCACCCGCATCCTTCTTCTCCACGTCCTCTTCGTCGTGTTATTCTTCGCATTCATCGTCGTCGTCATCCAACTCTAACCCTCCCTCTCCGAGTCAATCTACCGGACCCATGTACCACCATGGACCAGCGTCGAGATCTCATGAACGTATTCGAGTGACAGCAGCAGCGGCGGCGGCGGCGGGAATTCTAATTCGACACCACCACGTCGCGCGACCCATCGTCCGCGTCCGCGTCTTACCCGGCGCGACACGTACGTATAGGTACCAAGGGTTCTGGCTCAGACGTGGGACGATGCGCAAGACCAACAACTCCGAGACCGAGTCTGGCAAGAAGGAGAAAGGCGGGAAAAAGCGGGCCGAGAAATCAAGGAGGTGAGAATGACGAAAGGTAAGAACAACAATGAAAGGTCAGAGAGGCGAGAAAGAAAAGAAAAGAGCCGCTGTGGTAGGTAGGTGGATGGGCGAGTGGGAGACCAGGGACAGGTACAGGTACAGGTACAGACACAGGTAAGGGAGATGTAGAATCGAGTGTTCTTGTCTCGTCTCGTCCTTTTGCATCAAAGCCTGAAATTCACTACCTTGCATGCATCAGGGACCAGGTATCTTGTTGACCTCGTTGAAATAGTAACGAATATACAAGTCAAAATAAACCATATCCCACGCTCACGCGTTGACCGTCAAAAACAGCACTGCAATGATCCCAACATGCTCTTTTCCGAAAGTCTTTCCCCTTTTGTCTTTTTATCTCTCATCTCACATTCTGTAAATGTGACAATCAAATCGAAAAAGGGAGATCAGATCTCTGCCTCCGCCTCCGCCTCCACCTTTGACAGTTTCTCAAGGCCGAGGATGAGCCAGTGGGTAAGTAGCCCCTTTTCCCACCTAGGGCTGTTGTCAACGTACCTTTGAAGCACTGCCAAACCTCCATTCGTGCTGGTTGGAGTCTTTCTTTCGCCGACATCCCAATAGCCAACTCGGTGTGCTCTGGCCTGAAAATTGAATATTCCAAGATTATTGAATGACTTTTCTGATCTCTCATCAGTCCTATATCTTATCCTCACTTTCCCCTTTCTACGCTGTTGTGCTATGCCCCGGTTCACGGCTGATCCCGTCGTAGTTCTCTCGTCGTGCACATGACATTGAGCGAACGCTTATAGCATAGGTTTGATGTCGTCCGCAACCTTGAAAGGCGCCTCGGTCTTGGCCTTGATCTCCTCAACGGTAACTCCGTCCGCGAGTTCAATAAGCGTCAGGCCGTGGGTAAAGTCCACATCGAAGACGCACTGGAGGCACAAAACCAGGTCAGCATATGTTTCAGCTCGATTTTTATTCGCAGCCTTGTTCCAATACGACAGAGAGACTCACCAATTCCGTAATAATTCTCGAGACGCACGCTCTTCCAGTAAGAGGGAACTCGCACTGTTTCAGAATCTTGGGATTCCCCTTCTTGTCCGTGTGCTCCATCAACGCCACCACCCTGGTCTTCTCTGGATTGCTCACCAAATCCATTGCTCCGCCAAAGCCCTTGACCTTGCCAGGCAACATCCAGTTGGCCAGATCACCCTTGGCCGAAACCTGCATGGCACCCAGCATAGACATGTTGATGCGTCCAGAGCGGATCATGCCGAATGACTCCTCTGAGCCAAAGCACGACGCGCCTGGGAGCAAAGTGACGGTTTCCTTGCCAGCGTTGATAAGATCGGGGTCTTCCTCGCCCTTCAGTGGGTACGGGCCCAGGCCGAGGATGCCATTCTCCGATTGTAGCTGAACTTCAACTGAAGAATCCACAAAGGACGGGGCCAGCATAGGCATACCAATCCCCAAGTTGGCGTACATGCCGTTCTGGAACTCCTTGGCAGCGCGTCGAACAATCCGCTCGCGCTTCGATGCGGCATCGCCTTTTCCAAGGCTGTCTTTGACATCGGCGCCCTCTTCTTTGCGGTTGACGTATTTCTCAATCTTTTTCTCGGCCGTCGCTTGGACGACTTTGCTCACATATATGCCCGGCAAGTGCACCGAAACCGGATCAATCTCGCCGACCTCGACGATATGCTCAGCTTCCACAATGGTGACCTTGGCATTCCGGCCCATGGCACCGTTGAAGTTGTTTGCGGCGAGACGGAATTGGCAGTTCCCGAGCTTGTCGGCCTTGTATGCTTTCACAAATGCGTAGTCACCTGCAATCGCTTCTTCCATGACATAGGACTTGCCATTGAACACCTTGACGTCTCTGGGTTTTCCGAACTGTGCAATACTGCCGTCCTTGTTGTGTCGCAGAGGGATCTCCCCCGTCTGCACGACTGTACCAAACGCAGCTGGTGTATAGAATGCCGGAATTCCTTTGCCTCCAGCCGCACAACGTTCAGCCAGAGTACCCTGGGGTGTCAGTTCCAGCTCCATCTCTCCCGTCAAGTACATCTGCTCGAGCACTTTGTTCTCGCCAACATAGCTGGCAATCATTTTCCTAACTTGCTTGGTCTCCAAGAGCTGGCCGAGACCAGCCCCTGGAATACCGGCATTGTTGGAGACCGCGGTAAGGCCGGTAATGGATGGTGTTTTCGCGACCTCGTTGATCAGCGTGTCTGGCACACCGCAGAGACCAAAGCCACCACATAGAAGGGTAGAGTTGGACTTCATGTCCTTGATGGCTTCAGCGGCCGAGGGGACGACCTTGTTGATTTCATGGCGGCGCAGGGTCGACGAGAACGAGCGGGCGAAGAGGAGGTTTTGCTGTAGATGATCGAATCAGTCGGACTGTCTCTGGACAATGGCATGGTGTTTCGTCGTGGTTACACTCACCTTCCGTTGGTCGCGGGTAAAGTACCTCGCGGTTCTCCAACCTCGAGATACTTGTGAAGGAATGCGGAGAGAGGACTCAAGGAAGGACGCCATGATCACGGTTTGGGCTCTCTTTCACTTCTCTGCAGAGAGATGCAGCTAAGCACTCGCAGATGTCCTGGGGAAGAAGCTGAGCAAAATCACACAACAAGGAACGGGACAACCAAGACAGGAGCAACAACGGGGGAATAACAGTGAAAAGGATTGGAAGAGCCGACGTGCTGGGCAAGTCGGGCTGTTTAAAGCGGAGATGGCATGGACGACGCGGGATCGGTAAAGCACCCCGGAATGATTACCGCAGGATGAAGGAAGAGCACGGTACGGATCCGATGGAGAAGGACGAGGAGAAAATTATTGTGTACAGACAGATTAGCCACGCGGAACGCCAGGGAACGAGGGGAGTCCCCGGGTGCCAAGCGAATTCAAATGCCAGGGGAGCTGCTTACATAGGTGGAAGTAGGCGCTTACCCAGGTAGGTTAGGTGGCCTTTCCGAAGCCCCTAAGCAACCCGGATCCGGGGCCGTGTCTTTCATTCTGGGTACCATGGGCAGCCACCAGCTGAGGTCTTAAAGCGCGCCCTTGTGCGAGGTACCGAGTTATTTGTACACTGCCAGTCTTTTTCCGAGAAGACCCGGAGAAGCCCCCTTCCGATGCAATAAGCGGCGAGGCCAGGATGTGCTGAGCAAGAAATGACATTCACCAACACAGAGCAATTCTCTAGATATCGTCACATCACCATTGTGCAGAAACGTATCTCATCAAGGGGTATCATTGAAATAGTCGTGACACTTTGCGAGATGTATTTACCGACATGCCTAATATAGAACCAATTTCACCAAATCGTGCATATACCACAGGCTTTTTACAGAGGACCAAAAAGCTCGCCAACGCCATGCTCTTCATGTGGACGTAATGTCCAAGATGCAATTTCATTATACAGTCAGATAAAGCAATTCCCCAAACCACCCACCATGGGATGAAGTCTTATCCTTCATCATCCATACTCATCTCGTCCGATGAGTCACTGTTGTCGTCGTTGGCAAAGCCTGTATCGGGTTCATTGGAAGCGACGCTCCAACTCGCTCCCGCAGTGGCAGCAAGGCTACCGCTCGTCCGGCCCGGCTCATTTCTGGCACCAGGAAGCGGAATCCTGGCTCGTGCGGCTTCCAACACTCCCAATGAAGAACTTGCCACCGAAGCCTCGTCGTCGCCAACTTGTCGTTCATTTGAACTCGACGACCACTGCCATAAAAACCCAGCCGGTGCCGGAGAATATTCCGCCTCCGAAGACTCATTGCTGTCCTCGTCGTCGTAGTAACCTTTCTCTGCACCAGATGAGGAGCTTGTTGTGAAGAAAACGTAGCTTGGAGGTGGCAAACGCGAAGGTTGTAAACTCAACATCCTGCAATTGGCAACTTCGTAGGTATATATGGCAGGCCGCTTCTGTCGGATTGTCCTCTTACCGCCGCTACTGTCAAGCTTCCGCCGCTTTCTTGCGATCTGGACATCGAGCGCAAAGTTATCTTCTGGTCGCACACCCCCGAGACCTGAAGCTTCAAACTCTAACGGCACTGTCTCGTCCTCGCCTGAAGACTTGATGGGTTCAAGCGGTAAGTCTATCTCTGGGCAGTTCTGAGGCCATGTGTTGCGTGCTGGTGGCCAAGGGGAAAGGAAATAACATGCTTTAGCATCCCGTAGGGAGTCGTCCAAAACGGAGTGCCTCTTCTCAATGCCGAGAACATCTCGCGCTCCTGTAAAGCCGCTCAATCTGACGTTGGTGGGGGCTTTGTCACCACTGAGATCTGTGAAGAAGAAAGGGTTGCTGAAGAACGTCATGTAGCCATCATAGGCATCCTCTTTGGGTTTGATGCTGGAGCGGCTAAACGCGCGGACCAGGCCAGCAGAATTGGGTGACTTATCCTCATGCGAACTCGATGAATCCAGGTATGAGTTTTTGGCCTTCAGAAACGTCCTCTTCCCTTGAAATACAATAGGTTTATACTCAAACACAGAGGTCGACTTGGAAAGGGTTTTTGGTGGCTGGATTGCATGATTGGAAGATGTCGTTGTAGAGTTCACCAAGCGGGAGGTACCACTTGTCTTTTCCCGCAGGACTTTATCATCTGAAAGGGACATGGAGTTCGAGGGTTCGTTGAGTGTGCTAGTCGCGCTCCTGCCACTTTGGCGTCCGGCATCGTCGCCAGTATCGTCCGACGTGCGCTGGGGTGGACCCTCGGGGCTTGCTTGGTAACCATATTCGACTTGCGGGGTGCGCCCGATCCACCGCAATTTATGCCCGTCTTTCGAAAGCTCGAACTTGGTGCTCAGCTGTTTCACGGCTTTACGTACAAAGGCAGGCGTAACATTGAGCGTGTGGAGCTGAGCCATGCTGACAAGCAAATTCAGATACAACCAGGGTTGTTCTTTGCTGTCGGTATCGTCGTCAAATTGCGGCGACGACATGCCTAGATGTCGAATATACTCAATATTGTCCGCGGCGACTTGCGCACGATGGATGTCAAGATCCAAAGGTCGAGT